GGGGGGAGGGAGAAGCAGGCCTGCTACTGGCATCCACTGAGCAGAGGCCAGGGTTGCTGACAAACACCACCACACAACATACAGAACAGCCTCCAGGGAGAAAGAATGAGCTCACTCCAAATGTCAGTGGCAGAGAGGGTAAGAAACCCTGGACTGGACAAGAAGACTGATGATACCTTAGCATAAAATGTCAGGAGGGAGAGTTTGGAGAGCATTTAAATTTAGTTTTAAGTAAGATGAGTATGCCAAGAGAATACCCAGAGACAAACAGATCAAGAAATCCCCAAAATGTTCAAGTTTATCAAATGAAGACTATATGTGTGGGTTCACACAGGGACTACAGAGATTTTTGGAAAGGACCGAATAATAGGTATTTTAAGCTTTGCAAGCCATGAGGCCTCTTCCCAACTACTCATCTCTCTCACTGTAGCATGAAAAGCAGCATCAGCAGCAAGGTCGCTCTGACCATCCCTGCCTTTGTGTGTGACAGCTGGCATAAACTCTCCAAGTTACCTTGCCTGAAAGTAAGTCGTAATACCCTCTTTCCAGCCAGGCATGATAGTACATGCCTGTCATTTCAGCACATGAGAGGTGAAAGCCTGGAGGATCAGGAGTTCAAGGCCAGCCTCGGCTAGACACTGAGTTGAAAACCAGCCTAGGATACACGAGGCTGTCTCAGAAAAACAAAAATAAAGCCAACGAACAAAAATATCTTCCTTCATTCCAGAGGGATTCTGTCCTACATCTGGGTAGAAGGAATGCTGCAGGGAAAGGCCAAGAATATGGACAAACAGGTCTTGCTGGGTGGCCCCTTTGTCTGTTATACCTTTTGCCTTATCATATTTCCATATGACTGTTCATGACTTGTCAAATCTAAGCATAAAAGTAGTTTTCCCTAGATCATTTGGTGTTCATTTCTGAAAGCCCATGTCGTATAAACTTTAAACAAAGTTGTTCTGCTTTGTGATGGCTAATCTTGGTTGTCAACTTGACGTACCTGGAAAGAAGGCACCTCAGCTGAAGAACTACCTATTTTGGACTGGCCTGTGGACTTGTCCGTGGGGCACCTTCTTGATTGCTAGTTGATGTAAGAGGGCCCAGACTACTGTGGGCCGGGTCTGTGTCAGGAAGGTAATTGAACACGGTCCTGAGAGCAAGCCAGTAAGCAGCATTCCTCCATGGTTTCTGCTTCAAGCTCCTGCATTAAGTTCTTGATTTGGCTTCCCTCAATGATGGACTATAAAATGCAAGGTGAAATAAGCCCTTTCCTCTCCAAATTGTTTTTGGTCAGTATTTCATAACACAGAAAGCAAATTAGAACAGATACTGGTACCAAGAGTAGGGTGTTGCCATTGATGGACCTGACCACGTTATTTTTTAGGATTGTGGAAGTGTTTACACCTTTGGGCTGGAAAAGCCATTGAGTGTCAGAGCTTACTGGACTGTTCTGTGGGAACTTAGAAGATAAGAATGCTGAAAGAAATGCAGACAGTGGAGACTTGGTTTGTGATGTTTCATGGGGAAGTCATGATTCTATTGGGGCTGTTTGTATGATATTTTCTATTAAGGATCTGTGGAGGTGAAACCTTCTGTGCTTTACTGGGACAATGGACATTGGTTAGCTGGGGCTAAAAAATCAGCTGTGATTAACAAGAGACCCGCATCGTTGAGGTAAAATCTTCTGAAAAGTTATTTCCTCAGGGACAACACACAAAAGCTGTGGTCCACAGAAGCCATGTCTGTATCTCAAGCTGGCAGCCAAACTTGGTAATGTGCAAGAATCTCCTACATGGTACTGGTTTTCACAGCATGAAAGCTGCAGGACTGAAGTTGTCATGGAGAGAAGTTGAGGCTTGGCACCATGTGGCAGGGTTGGAGTCACTGAAGAGTAGCCAGGTGTTGGATAAACTTGTCCTGAGTGGAAAGCCAGACTAACAAGAAAATGTATAAGATGCCTTCTTCTCTAGCTTCTCACCCACTTACTTCAAATTAATTGGACCCTAAGACTCTCCATTAAGAAGGGAGAGTCAGAGGGAGACAGTCACCCCTCTACCCAATCAGTCAGCTTTAACTGCATGAGGGGGAGGGATTAAGGACAGGGACAGGGGAAGCCAAAGAGAAGGAAGGCACTTTGCCATCTTGGACTGGCAGCAGCAGGTCTGGAAGCCACAGCTGAAATGTAGAAAAAAAAACAGCCCAAGGGTGGCCATACCTTTGTAAGTACCCCCTCACTACCATCATATGCTCTGTTAGCAAGCCCAATAGATACTTTTGTTCCCTAAACTGTAGTTTGGAGGAATACTGTGTAAGTTTGTCATAAGGACAGTGGAAGGAGTGGGCCGTGCCAGGAGCCTGGAAGCCAAGAGCGTGCACCTCCCAGCAGTATTAAATTTACACCAGGTGAACCCAATGGTAAAGGTGAAGCTTCAGTTGCAGTGGAAAACCCAGGATATTGAAAATGCCAGGACTGTGGAATGGCTGCCAAGGACAGTTGGCAGGTCTGGAGTGGAGCTGGCCTGAATCCTGTGTGTTGTTGATGGCAGACCCCTTTGGAGCCCAGAAGATCATGAGTGAATCCCAGATGTCAGACATTGAGATTTTTACACTTGGATTTTGGTTTTGCTTGATCTGATTGTAACTGAGCCATAGTTCTTCCCTTTGGAGTAAGAAGCTAGGTATCTTTTTTTATTTTACAGGCTCCCACAGTTAAGAAACTCTGGACTTGTCGGGCGTGGTGGCACACACCTTTAATCCCAGTACTTGGGAAGCAGGGGCAGGCAGATCTCTGAGTTCAAGGCTAGCCTGGTCTACATAGTGAGTTCCAGGACAGCTGGGGCTACAGGGAGACCCTGTCTCAAAAAGACAGAGAGAGAGAGAGAGAGAGAGAGAGAGAGAGAGAGAAAGAGACTGAGACTGACTCTGGACTTTTTTAAAGAGACATGGAACTTAAAATTTTGAGGGTGATTTATTTTTATGTGTATAAATGTTTTGCCTGCATGCATGTAAGTGCACCCATGTCAAGCAATGCCTGGGTGCGGATCAGAAGAGGGTGTTGGATCCCCTGGAACTGGAGTTATGGATGGTTGTTAGCCATGTGGGTGCTGAGAACCAAACCTGGATCCTCTGAAAGAGCAGCCACTGCTCTTGACCTCTGAGCCATCTCTCCAGCTACCCCACAACAAAGAACTTTTAAAGCGTTAAAATTTTTAATGACTCTGGGACTTTTAAAAGTTGGACTATATTGTATATTATGATATGAACATGAGATCTTAGGGACAAAAAAGGAAAGTTTATGGTTAAACAGTGATGTGTTTGTGTATCAAATTGACCAGGACTAATCTTCGTTGTCAAGATGACACATATGGGAAGAAGAAACTTCAGTTGAAGAACTGCTTCCATAAGATTGGCCTGTGGACATGTCTGTAGGGGCATTTTGATTGCCAATTGATGTGGGAGGGCCCAGTCTACTGTGGGCATTACCTTCCCTAGGCAGGCAGACTTGGACCGTATGTAAGAAAGATAGCTGAATGTGAGCCTGGGAACTAGCCAGTGAGAAGTGATCCTCTGTGCCTTCTGCTTCAAGCTTCTGCCTTGCGTTCCTGCCTTGGCTTCCCTCAATGACTGATACCTATAAGCCAAAGAAACCTGTTCCTTCCCCAAGTTGCTTTTGGACAGAGTCATTTAGCAGAACAACAGAAAAGCTTCCAAAACATGTTTTTCTCTTATTAATCTTGTGTCAAAGGAATGTCAACCATGACCCTTATGATAAGTGAGGAAAAGATCACACCTTTCGGCCCCTACACTACACACTAATAAAACTATGAACACTGAAACCTGAATGTCACATAATTACATAATTATTTTTACATGTTGCAAATATTCTTTTTAATTTTTTTAACCATTTAAAAATGAAGGGGAAAAAAAATCTTAGTTCATTTAACACACAAAAAAAGTCAGCAGACTGGATTTGCCAACCTCTGGGCAAGACAGAGATGGGAGAAACCAGGACCACAGGCTTATTGAGTCTTGCAGAGCTAAGTGAAAAGAATGTTGCCTTCTGTCTTCTCAGTAACAATTGTGTGCTTTGGGCCTATGCTCTCAGGAGTTTCTTAACCCAACCATAAACAATTCCCATCTATCTATCTATCTATCTATCTATCTATCTATCTATCTATCTATCTATCTAATGTAAACCAAGTCTGCCTCAAACTCATTAGAACCCAGGCCGACCTTCAACTTAAAGCAATCCTCCTGCATCACTGGGATTACAGGTATGAGTCACCACATTAGATTCTCTTCTGTGCTCTTCCTCAACAGAAGTCCTGTCCCTTTATTTATATTGTTTAGTCTTTTTTTTTTTTGAAAAAGGGAATCATGCAGCCCAGGTTACCCTCACTATGTAGCCAAGGATAACATTGAACTTCTTATCTTCCTGCCTATTGCTGGGATTACAGGGGTATGCCACAATGCCCAGGTTATGCTGTCCTGGGGATGAAACCCAGGGCTTCATGCATGCTCGAGGCAAGCATTCTAACAACTGAGGTACATCCCCAGAACCTTGTTTAGTCTTAACAAAGAATTAATTGCAATGATTAGTGTCCAGAAACTCAATGACTGGTCCAAGGCTAATCTTCAAGCACAAGCAACAGGGGAGTCAGGAAAGGAGCCAGGCCCCTTACACAACAGACATCAGCAATGGCCACCAACAACAAGGAGAACAGGCAGAGCCAGTGGACAGTAAGTGGTCTGCTCTCTACAGAGCATTTAGCCTACAACTTAAAACAGTTGGTAGACTTGGAAAAATATAGCTCTTGATGCTATGTTCAGACTAACAGGTTAAAAAATGATAAGGATCTTAAATAATATGTGTCTTATGCACTCTAAAGTTGCATGTGTATTGCAAAGGATGGGGGGGATGAACCAGATCCCAAATCAGTCTGTATCTGACAAAAAGGTGTTAGATCACCATGAAGCTTTCCAGAAATGAAGAGCCCACTTACTTGCCAATTCAATGATTTCCATCCTCTTCCCATCAACATCCTGACCTACAAAACATAGGTCTTTCTGCTCAAAGTGATTGATCAGATTAGGGTTCACCTGGAAATACAAGGAATTAAGAGTCTTTAAGCCACAAGGCAATGCAGACAGAACAGTTTAAGCAGACAACAGTTTAAGAAGAGGTCTGCCTCAGTTGGATATTTTTCCATTACATGGATCCTCTAACTAGAACTTAATTTCTGTATTCATCACCCAAAACCTAATCTTAAATTCATGACAAGCCTGAGTATAAAATCTAATCAAATCACATGAATCTGGGAGGTCCACATTGTACCACTCACAGATAGGATTCAAAACTTAGTACTGTGCCACAGATAACATGGATCAGAACTTTGAGACCAGTTTCTTATACCCATCCTGTATCTGTAATGGTTAATCTTCACTGTCAGCTTGACTGGATTTAGAATCACCCAGGAGACACATTTCAGAACATGTCCATGAGGATGTTTCCAGAAAGTTAATTGACTGAGGAGAGAAGATCCACCCTGAACATGAACAGCACTACCCCACGGCTGGGATCCTGGATGGAATAAAAAGGGGAAAAAAAGGAGAAAATAAATCCAGTCACTGTCCTTCCTGACTGTTGGTAAAATGGGACTAACTGACTCACACTCTCATAGCCATGATTTCCTCATCATGATGGACTATAGCCACTTAAACCATGAACCAAGCCAGGCGTGGTGGCGCACACCTGTAGTCCCAGCACTTGGGAGGTAGACGCAGGTGGATCTCTGTGAGTTCAAGGCCAGCCTGGTCTACATAGTGAGTTCCAGGTCACCTGGGGCTATAGGGAGACCCTGTTTCAAAAAAAAACATGAACCAAAATAAATCCTTCCTTCCTTAACTTGTGTTTGTTAGGTATTTTGTCACAAAAACAACAAAAGTAACATATACTATCTCTCCCCAAATCATAATTTTTTAATATTTATTTATTTATTTATTTATTTATTTAATGTGCATGAGTGTTTTGCCTACATGTATATATGTGTGCCTCATGCATGCAATGCCCCTGGAGACTAGAGAGGGTGTTGGATTCCTTGGAACTAGAGTTAGAGATGGTTGTTAGCTGCCATGTGGGTGCTGGAAACTAAACCTGGGTCCTCTGCAAGAGGACCAGTGCTCTTAACCATAGAGCCATTTCTCCAACCCAAATCTTTTTTTTCACGTGCGTGTATGTGTGTGTGTGTGTGTGTGTGTGTAAGCCAAAGGTTGATGTTGGATATCTTCCTCAATTGTTCTCCAGTCTACCTACTGAAATAAGGTCTCTCACTGAACCCAGAGCTTGCCCAGCTTCCCCCAGGGATCCTATCTCAGTTTCCCATGTGCTGGGATTACAGATGGGGCACACTTGGCCAGGATTTATGTGGGTGTGAGGCATCCAAATTCTAGTTCTCACACTTGGGCAAGCACTTTACCCACTGAACCCTCTCCTAGCCCCAATCAGGAATTTGATTGAGTATTGAAACTCTTCTTTCTCTTGGATTTGGGATTCTTTATTTGTTCCATCCCAGATGTTGGCCCCAAATGGCCTAAGCTAAATATGATCAACCCATTCCTCTTTGCAGATGTTGTAAGAACCTTAGTTTAAGTCCACCTATGTTCAGTATGGCACTGACAATGGTACAAATTCAAAGACTGGCAGGTAATCTCAGGTGACCTAGTTAGGGCTAGGGATGGAGCTCAACTGGTAGAGTGCTTGCCTAACATGCATGAAGCCCTGGGTTCAAACCCCAGCACCACATAAAACTGGGTGTGGTGGCATATATCTATTATCTCAGCACTGGAGAGGTAGAGGAAAAAGTATCATGAGTTCGAGTTCATCCTCAGATACATAGTGAGTTTGAGACCAGTCTGAGATATATGAGACTCAGCCTTAGAAAAAAAATAAGTTGACCTAATGAGACTGAAGAAAAAGTATGTGGGGCTTCAGTTGCTGCTGGTAGCTATCTTGCAACGATGAGAGAGACCACTCAGGGGACAAATCAGACACATAGAAAAGGGCCAAGAGAACCATGGAGACACCAGAAGTTCTGATTATTTCATGCCTGGAGGCAGCTACCTAAGCTAACACATGACTTTATTGTTTAGACTGATTTGAATGAATATGCAGAGATTCCTAGTCTTCAAAGCCAAACGCATTATGATTGACTAATCCCAGTATAAATAGTCTACGGTTCTGCACGACATGTTTCTCCTGTACCAATCTCAGCAATAAACTCTTCTTAGTCATGTGACACTAAGCCTCAAGCTCAATGTCAGCTTTGGAAGAGGTTGTTAGAACTAGAAACCATATGAGATCTAGGAACTCATTCGTGTGCTAAATTCATTTCATTCCTTGCTGGAGGTATCTCTCTTTTCTCAAGCCTTAGAAACAAGAGACTTAACAAAGAAGGAGGAATAGTGATCTCCTTTTGGTCTAGAGTAAACCATGGCAGTTAGAGTATCACAGTACCAGATAGGCACATGGATATAGCTTTTGCCTTTGGAAAGCCAGAAAAAGTAGTTTTCACCCCAGCAGCCTCCTCTGAAAATTGGGGACAGTGGGAAATTTAGCATTCCTTCCCTGAGCCCTATGGATACTATAAAGTTGGATGCCCTTCTCAGAGAACCTGCTTGTAATCACCAGGGTTCCTTGCACCAGATATCCACATCCCTCAGAAATTCAGCATGAAAGGCATACCTCATACCGATGTCTGTGTCTTTCTTCTACAAAAGGAACGTCACCATAAAGCTTCCCTGTAAAGACAAAAGTGTGGGGTTAACACTGGAGCTAAGTGCTTCAGACATACATCCATGGCACGTGTGTGGAGGAAGCCTCTGTAATCTCCATCAGAGGCTTGAAAAAGACCAGACTCAAAGAACAATCTAGATCATCTTGTCTTCTAGTAGAAAAATCTGAAGCGTTTCTCAAATCAATCATCATCACAGTGTAAGGAGAAAAGGAGAAGCCTTCCATGGGACGCAGATCTGAAAAGGGTTCATTTGCCCAAAGCTCTGCCCTGCTGGACAGCATGTTCACTTCTCCAGCCCAGGCTGCCTAACATCTGTGCTTTCTCCACAGCACCAGCCAGCTGAATGTTTTCTTTCAGTCAGGGTTTCATGTAAGCCTGGCTAAGAAGCCAAGGATGACCTTGAATCCGTGGTTCTCTTGCCGCCACCTCCCAGTGCTGAAGCAAATGGATGTGTGCAAATGGATGTGTGCCCAGTTCTCTCTCTCTCTCTCTCTCTCTCTCTCTCTCTCTCTCTCTCTCTCTCTGTGTGTGTGTGAATGTATGCACGCATGGCAAGTGCACATGTGGAGGGCAACCTCAGGTGATCGTCCTTGCCTTCCATCTTGTCTGAGACAGGCCATCTTGTTCACAGCTGCATATGTCTAGCTGGCCCCAAAAGCTTCCAAGAATGCTCCTCTCTCTTCTATTTTTATGTAGGATCCGAGGATCAGAACTCAGATCCTCATGCTTTCATGGCAAGCATTATATCCACTGAGCCATCCCCCCAGCCCTATCTATGCCCTATTTTTAGGAGATTCTCAGGATCAATCCCAGGGCTTCACGCTTGTGAGGGCAGCACAACTGAGCCATACGCCCACACCCACCTGCGTATTTTCTCATCCTACTGGCCACATTACTGAAGATTCCACCTTAAAAAATATACTCCGACCCTAAAATTTTACTTCTAGACTAAGGACATAGATTAGTGCTACAGTACTTGTCTAGCATGCACAAGGTAGGTCCTGGGTTTAGACCAGAGGGATAGCTCAGCATATAAGGTCTTGCCTGACAACCCAAGTTTGATCCTTGGAACACATGTAAAAAGCCACATATGGCAGTGCACATCTGTAATCCCAGCTCTATAGCAAGAGGCAGAGACAGGAGAACCTCCGAGAAGCTTTCCAGCCAGACAGAGCAGTAGCAGAAACAAGAGAGACCCTGCTCAACAAGGTGGAAGGCGAGACTGACTCACAAAAGTTGTCCTCTGACCTCTATAAGTATGCTGTGGCATATATGTACCCCCCCCACCCATACATACGTACATACACAAAGAGAGATCCTAGGTTACATTCCCCCAACACTGCAGAAAAAAAAAACAGAAAATAGAAATGAAGACAAAAATGTAACCACAAAGATGAGCACTGATGCATTATTTAAGAGTGAACAGATGGAAACAAGCTGAGCATCAAGATGAGAAGACGGAAGGATTAAATAATAGCACCTCAGTACCAAGGCTGCTGTTGCTGCATTTTTTTCCTTTCATTTTCTTTTCATTTTTAATGAAAATACTAATACTCCTTAACCAGAAGTGTGTGGCTGGAAATCAAGCAAGGAAGCACTTAAACACAGCCACACAGCTGAGGCACTAAAGCTCATAAAAGTACCATTGGGAATAACGATCTAGGAGATGCCAAGTAACCACAGACAGGGTCACTAGGACAGAGCCAGCTCCATCACTGAACTCTGCTCAACTAGGTTACAGTACTGGAACATACCAAAGAGGGCAACAACTATCCCCACAGCACCAGCTCTCAAGATGCAGACCCCAGCATACACCCAAGGGACAAAAGCCATCAGTGCAGGAAGTAACTCATCACCAAACTCCACCAGAATCCGGAGCTGGATTCAGCTCAGCACACAGGAGGAGCACTGTAGCCTCCTAAAGACATCACTAGGCCGGAATAGGAAGTTTCAACCAAGAAAGACCAAATCAATGCCTTGTGATTTCATTTGAGCTTTTGACTTGGAACAAGAAAATGCCAATTATATACCTCTGTACGAGTTATGATAATAATCAAGCTTCTATCTAAAATTCTGTCCATACAAAGCAAGAGCTTGCTGACCAAATGAATGACAGTGGATATTTAAGATGTGTTTAAGAGAAACATGGGATGAGTTGGGGCACCACTGAGAGAGCTCTGTCTGACATACCACTGAGGGAGGGATCATTCAGAACCACCTTTGTTCTAAAATTGTTGGTTCGTAGAAACTGAAGGAAAATGGAAAACATAGCACAGGTGGAAAATAGGGAGGCATTCTACAGGCTCTGTGTGAACTGAAACTGCATAGTTTACGACTATTATCTGGCTTAAGGCAGACTATGTTTGCTAAGATATCTATCTCATAGGTGACAGGAAGGGAGGAGAGGGAGTAACTCTGAAGCCAGACTGTATGGCTTTAAATTCCTCTAGACCATGTCACAGATCTGTGGCTTGAGTAAACGATTTAGCCTCTCTGCCTCATTTTGCCCTTCTATAAAATGGGAATCATGATAGTCCCTTCATAGGATCATGATGAGGATTAAATGTAAACCACATACATGACTGCTATTGTTCTATCTGAACACTGAAATAGAAGCAGAAAGACTGGATACCCACATAGTAACAGATTTATGTTCAATAAACAAACAGATATATATATATATATATATATAATGTGTACAGTAATTGATGAAACATTTATGAAAATGATTTTTTGTCAGGACCCATGTATATGCTAGGCAAGAGGTGTTCTACCATTGAACTGAATTGTCAGCCTTTATTTTTTAACTCTCTCTCTTTCGCTCTCCTTTGGGGGGAGCTTGAAACAGAGTCTCACTATGTAGTCGTAGCTGGCATGGAACTCCCAATGTAGATCAGGCTAGCCTAGAACTCAGAAATATCTCCCGGCCTCTGCCTCCCAAGTGCTAGGATTAAAAGTTCGACCACCACGCCCAGCTTTATTGGCTTATTTATTCACTTTATTTTGAGACACAGTCTCACTAAATTCCCCAGGCTAGCCTTTAACTGGTGAGTCTCCTGCCCCTGCTTCCTCAGTAGCTAGGATTATGGGTCTGAGAAACCACATTCAGTTATTTGGACATTTTATTTTATGCATTCAAAACTGTTTTTGATTGTTTACAAATCTATTAATTATAACGTCACAAAATTAACCCATGGAAATATCTTTTTTTTTTAAATTAAATCTCAGGGCTAGAGAGATGGCTCAGCAGTTAAGAGCACTGCCTGTTCTTGCAGAAGACCCAGGTTCAAATCCCAGCACCCACATGGCAGCTAACAACCATCTGTAACTCCAGTTCCAGGGAATCCAACGCCCTCTTCTGTCCTCCCTGGGCACTGTACAACACAGGTGCACTTAAACACATGTAGGCATAACACTCATACACATAAAATTAAAATAAATCAAAATGTTTTTAATTAAAATCTCTGGGTCAGGTATGGTGGCACATGCCCTTGACCCTAGCACTCTGAAGGTAGAGACAGTTGTATTTCTATAAGAGATCAAGACCAGCCTGGTCTACACAGTGAGTTCTCTAGCTTAGCCAGGGCTACAGAGAAACCATGTCTCGAAACAAAAACGGGAGCCACCCCCCCACCCCCCACCCCCGCCGACACACAAAATCAGCTTAGAGGGGCTGGAGAGATGGCTCAGCAGTTAAGAACACTTCATGATCTTGCAGAAGACCCAGATTGGGTTCCCAGCACCCACATACATGTAGGCTAACAACCGTCCTCAACACCAGTTTCAAGAGATCCAACACCTTTTTCTGGCCTCTGGGGTAACTGTATGCATATGCTGCATCTACATGCAAGCAAAAACCTCATACACATAAAATAGAAATAAATAAATCGAGAGGGAGAGAGAATGCTACCAATTCAAGTCTATTTGAAAGCACTTTGAAACTAAGAATGCTCCTTCCAGAGCACACCAGGTTTCTCATTTGATTGCTCAAAGGAATGTTAGGCACATAGGTTTTTTTAAAAAGTTCCTTATAGCCTGGCATGGTGGCATATGCCTTTAATCCTAGCACTCAGGAAACAGAAGAAGGTGGACCTCTGTGAGTTCAAGTCTAGCATGGTCTACATATCAAGTTCCAGGCTAGCCAGGGCTATATAGTGAGACCCTATAAGGAAAGGAGGGAGGGAGGGAGGGAGGGAGGAAGGGAGGAAGGGAGGAAGGGAGGAAGGGAGGAA